CCAGGATAACTTCCAAGTCAAAACGTCATCAGGACTTTATGTTTCTAAAGAGTGTCTCCTCACCACCAGAGAAAATACTGGTATATATCATTTTTAATATCATTGTGTGTGGCTGCAACCAAGCAAAAAATATTGACTGGGAATACCTGTACCTCAAAGTACTCATTTGATTAAAATATTGCTTGATTCGGGGAATGGCATTCTGGGATATTGTGCGCAGAGGAAAAGCTATAGTCAGCACTCACACACAAAGGCACCTCGGCGTCTTCCTGTTCACCACGGGATGTGAACAAGGGAAACGCAGGATGGCAATTATGTCAGCGCATCCTAAAGGCATTTCTACTAAGTAACCTATATATTATCTGAGAAAATGTGGAACAGCTCTAGCCAATAGATTATTGAAAATGAATCTCTTAGGAAATACAGCATTGTATGCTTGTCTTAGAAATACAAAATTATACTCAAATACCAAATGTTTAATATTCCTCTATTGACACAAAACCTCCCTGGAAGCCGAATTCTACTCCTGCCCTCTACCCCGGAACACGGGGTCACTAACCTTGTTTGAAAATTTACTTCGTCCTTTGTTGTTTGAGTGTGAAATGTTCCCTGTGAGACCGATGTCCCCTTGATCCCCAGATGGTGGTGATCTTGATAGGTTTTGTAACCTCTGGGGAGGGCTTGGCTGGCAGGGGTGGGGCCAGAGGGTGAGATGCCAGCTCTGCTACCAGCCTGAGCACTCTCTGCCACCACAGACCCTCTAATCCATTGGCTTCCCTCTGTGGAAGCAGAGAGCACCAGACCATCAGTGAGAAGCTTTGTAACTAATGTGACCGGCACCATCTATAATGCAAACGTGCTCACACGATAAAACATGTGCTCACATGATGATACATGAGGCCCTTCCGAGTTATAACCTATAACCGGTCCAGTGGTCATGAAACATGGGAGTGAGCACAGGCAAGCAAAGAGGAGAACACAGCAAGATCGGCTGGAATACTTCGTGTGAGGCTGCATGAAACACCCATCCATCCACAGAGGTTGCTGTGCCATGGTCAGAGCAGAAGCCCCAGGAACACTGCACTGAGTGCTGGCTTGGTTACAAACAGGGCTCTCCAGAGGCCTCAGGCTGCCTGGAGCACAGCAATGAAATCATACTACCGGGTCCCCAAAACAAGGGTCAGACAAGTGTTCATCTTTTCTGGGTAGAGGAAATGTGGAACCCGAAGCACAGTCCCGCCCTGTTGTCACCATCCTGCTGCTGAGGGCCTTGGCAGTTCCTGTGAGCAGGCAAAGAGAAGCTCTTCAGAGCTGGCAGCCCTGGGCCCTTGGTGCTGAGCCCCGAGAGCTGGAGGCTGCTGCTCCAGGCTTTATAGGGCAGTGTTTCAGACTCTGGGAACTCAGAGCCGATGCACATGGCTCTGACCTTAACCACCAGAGTCCTAGGAACATAAACTGACAGAACCACTCCAAGGTGTAGTTGCAGGGGTGGTTTTTATTGTAGATAAGAAAGTACAGCCAGAGGCATCTGGAAGAATCCAGAGCAGAGAAGGTAGTATACTGAACATGGCCAGCAGACTGGACTTGGCCATGAGAAGAGGCTGGGAGGGGGGGGCGAGAAGGGAAAACAAGAGAGTGCAGGCAAAGGAGACCATGAAAGCCAAAAGAGCGGGTTACAGGGAAACGAGAGGCTCAAGGAAGGTAAGCCCGTGAGCTGAAGTTTAGGGCTGGGGGTGAGAAGAGCCAGGATGCCAGCTTGGACTCTGTAGCAGGTACTTGTGACACAAGAGAGCCTGGAGTCCAGCATACGCTTTGGTGATGTGGGATGTCCTTCTGTGGACAAGAAAAGCTATGGGTACCATCAAAATTAATCAAGATTCAGTTGAAAAGGAGAAACCTCTTGATAAAGAGAAAGGGCAGCTCATCCACAGAAGGACATCACTTTGGTGATAGACACCAGAGATAGCCATTTGCCCCAAGTTCCTTTTGGACTTAACACCAGTCATGTTTTAGCTATTGTAATCCCAGGCTTTCAGCATTAGTGCAGCAACAATGAAGAGCAGTGGGCAGCAGTGGGCAACTCAGTCTAGGACGTTTAAATCTGTGCTCTGCCTGGAGGAGGAGGGGCCTCCTCACACAGCTGGAATTACCAAAGAGAAAGTAAGTGGTGGTGGGCAGTATGCCTGACCATGGGAAACTGACGCATACCAAAAACGAAGTGACTTCAGCAGGTGGCAACGGCTGAGTATCCCTGAAATAAAGGACCTCCGACAGGCCTTAAGGGAGATCTGGGCATGCGAGGGTAACAAGCTAGACAGGGCGCTGCATGTGCAGCAAGGAAAATGCAAAGAAAGCAGCATCAGTTGCACACAGTTGCACACACAACTCCCCGTTGAAGGAGGAGCGCTGCTCTCAGCAGCAGAGGCGTCCACATCAGGCCGCTGCCAACCAAAGGCACAGGCAGAGAAACCGCAGAACAAAACACAGAGGAGAGCAGCTGGAGCCGAAGGCGGGTCTGTTTTAAACCAGGAGATGTGGGGGTGCAAGATGTGTGACCCCCCCCCCCCCCGGGGAATCACAGACTCTCAACAGCACAGAAGCTCCGGCAAGACAAAGTAATCATGAAAAGCAGAGATAGTTGTACTCCGTATGGCCACATTAGAAAAGGGAGACACGGGGACTCCTCCCCAACACCCACTTCCCAAGCCCATCTTCACGGTCCTGACAAGAGGTCTGAGTTTAAACAGAGGGCAAGGGCTGTGTAGACGGCAGTCCTCACCAAGGAGCGGCCCGGCACCCTGGCCCTTCATTGTCTTGGCTCCTGTCTCTCGGGCAAGCTAGTTGAACCAGAGTTAGAACTTGATGAAATCCCTGCTGAAGACGAATTTCTCCTCTGGCTGACTCCAAGCTTCGGTCCTTTCCTTCTCCCAGCAGGAGACTTCTGGGGAAATTCCTTGGAGATCATTGTCTCAATAGTGAGAGTCAACTGGAGGGGCACACGTGTCTCTCCTTAGACGCTCTCACAAGAGCGCAGGTGGAAGAAAGCAAAGGCATTCAGCTTTGCGCGCGCGCGCGCGCGAGAGAGAGAGAGAGAGAGAGAGAGAGAGAGAGAGAGAGAGAGAATCAAAGGATCCCCCAGAGCCCCAGGTGGTGATGGGTTGTCAAGTGTGGATGCTGGGAATGGAACTCGGGTCCTTTGGAAGGGCAGAAATTACTTGCCATCACAAAGTCACCTCTCCAGCTCTCACCCCTTACGTTTTAGAGTCACCCACTATAGTGATATTCTATTTGTATTTTAATCAATAAAGCTTGCCTGGAGAGAAGAGTACAAAGCTAGCCACGGTAGTCAGCCATACAGTCTTGGCAGTGGTGGCACACACCTTTAATCCCAGCAGCCACACTAGTTAGCCATGGAGGCTTGGCGGTGGTGGTGCACGCCTTTAATACCAACACTAGAGATGAATATAAGGCAAGATGAGACAGGAACTTCTCTTTTCAGTCTGAAGATTTCAGTAGGCAAGAGCTCTTTAATGGTTTGGCTGCTTTTCTGACTTTCAACTTGAACCCCAATATCTATCTCTGGGTTTTTATCATTAGTGCTACACCCCACTATGTATAATGGGTCTCCTGAACCCTCAGCCTAAGTGAGGCTTTTACTGGTGAGGAGAACCCTGGAGTCAATCACATCAAATTTCTGACCTGGCCCTGACAAGTATGCATCTGTCTTCTAGGGAGCAGATGTCACAGACAGCATGTCTGCTGTCTCCCCCTGTGAAGGAGACAGCTCCCTCTGCTCCAAAGGGCCTTGGGCCAGCTGCTTCTCTGTCTTCGGTGCTGGCGTTTTCTCCGACCCTAGACCTCCATTTTCCTCTGCTGTGGCCTGGGTGTGGCTCTGTCTTTAAAAGGCTGTTTCTACACCAGAGCCCTTCGTGTGTCAGAAATCAGGAGACCACGGGGGAGACCCAGGTCCATTAGACCATGGTGTCCAGCAGCATCAGCAACACTGGGGCATCCAGAAGCAGGCTTATGCTTGGGTACTTTTCCAGGATAGTTATAACGCATTGCAGAGCCCTGGCGGATGGGAACCCACATCCCCACCTGTCTCGAGAATCCCTTCTTTGGGGATGAACCAAAGAATGAATCCACCAAAGTGCCTTCTGGGGCACAAACACCTTTGTTGGTCTTACTTACAGAGCGTGGGTGAGGGGTCCCCAGGAACAACTTGGGTGATCTCAAATCAGCCACAATGGAAAGTTTTCACCCAGCCTGGATGATATCCTCCTCGTAGCCATTTCTCTAGAAGTCCCCTCTCTCTGTTAACCTCCCCCAGTTTATATACTCGAGCATCCCTCAGACCCTAGGACTGTGAGGCCATCTGAAATTAGGGAAGAACTGCACACAAATGGATTGGAAGAGGGGCTGGAATTTCAGGTCAGAGTCCAGGCCTCATCCCACCCCTTCAAATAGTGACAGCCCACGAGCCCAACCAGGCTGGCGCCCGGCAGCAGGCACAGATAATCTGATAATAATAGGGGCTGTTTGGCCCAGAGGACCCTTCTCCTATAACCCTCTCCCCAGCTCAATCTCGCTCCGCTCACTGCTAACAGATTGATCAGCACTTAAGTATCTATCAATGATACTTTAGCTTTAGCTTTTTCATTATGGAAGACACTGGAGGACAGGCTAGTCTAAAACACAGAAAGTTGGAAAGAAGTGTGCAGAGGTCCTGGTCCCCACGTGAAACCTGCCTCCAGGCCAACACCACACCAGAGCTTGCTGCCCTGACCCTTCTCCCCACATCCCATGAAAGGGCTTCAGGGATGATCTAAAATGATTTCTCCAAAATGAAAATGGCTAATGGAGCCTGCGTCCTCTATCCTGCCCTGGTGGCAAGCTCATTTCTCATGAAATTCGGATCTCAAATGAAGCGATAATGTCACAGTGTTGGAATGCCCATCTCCAGTTGGTGGTAACGTGCTGCCATCCTGAAGGCGGGAGAGGAGGACTCAAACCCTCTCCTGCCGTCTTCGGAGGCAGCTTTCGCTGCACTCTGCCTGACACGAAACTTGTCCGTCACTCAGATGAGCACAGTAAGGTTTTCATGAAATCGGCGAAGACTGCAAATGCCAGGGTAGCTCTGTAAAAACATACATCAATGGGCCATTGCATATGAATTCCCACCACGGGCCAGAGATGATTAAATAACTTTTGTAAAACAGCATTTGAAATTTTGCTCTTGTCCATATTTTTCATAATAGTCAGAAGAAAATGAATTACAACTCTGCCAGAAAGGGATAGCTTGGCATTTGAAGAAACCCAGTGCACACATTAGCACAGGGAGTCCATTAGGTCCCGAGAATCAGGGACTGAGTCAGAGGCTCCAGCTAGGGCTTCATTTCTGGGATTTAGCAAATATTATTTTTTAAAGAGCATCCAAGTTACTACCCTCTAGAAGGCAATTATCTCCTTAATGTTCATAAAGTGTGAGAAACAAATGAAAAATACATCTTAACATTTGCATATGTACCCGCAGCTAAAATGTTAGGAGTCAAATTGCACCACGGTTTAAGGGCAGGGAGAAGGCGGCTCTGGGCTTAGCTGTTTGTGTTAAACACTATTCATTAAGGAAGTCTGTGCAATGGTTAAATAACCTTGGGTAGCATCATTGATTCATTCCACAACAGGTTTTACCAGCCAGTGCATCTGACCTTCATCTGAGGAGGTCACCTAGTGCTCATCCAAGTGTCTATAAAGACCAATAAGACTCAGAAGCCAGCCGCTGGGGTGAAAACCTGCTAGCTCAGAGAGGCTGAGAAAGCACCTGGTTGATCTTCCTCTTCCACTGATGTCCCAGAAAGAGAGCTTTCTACTGTGTCATTTCAATCAAAACTGTTAGGGGCTGCAAACCCTCAGTCCCTGAACTTTCTAAGACCCCTTGCCTGGTGGAGTAAACAACTTGTTTTCCTATGCTTGCAGCTGCTCTGAGCACGGAACCCTCATGAGTTCCTGACAACAAGGAAGTGGTTTCAGATGGATTTTCAGTAGAAAATCCTGAGAGCTAGGGCGTGGCCACTAATCAAGGAGAGCACTTTATAAGCTCCTCTGGAACACAATAAAATTGGCATTCTTGTAGAGCAAGAGGAGTTGAGAACAGCAAGGAACACGGTCCACAGATCAACTAAGCAGGGCTCATAGGGGCTCACAGACAGGAGTAACCATGATGGAGCCTGCCTGGGTCTGTGCTAGGTCCTCTGCATATGTTATGGTTACTGCAGCTTGATATTCTGTGGGACTCCCAACAGTGGAAGTGGGGGTACCTCTGACTCTTCTGCCTGCTCTTGGGACCCTTTTTCTCCTACTGGGTTGCCTCACACAGCCCTGATATAAGGACTTACGCCTAGTCTTATTGCAGCCTGCTACAGTGTTGGGCTGATATTCCTGGGAGGCCTGCTCCTTTCTGAAGGGAAACAGAGGAGGAGTGGATCTGGGAGATGGGGTGGGGGACTGGGAGGAGAGGAGGGAGGGGAAACGGTGGTCAGGATGTATTATACGAGAGAAGAAATCTAGGGAAAGGAACAGTTATTGCACAAACCCAACCACACTGCATTACATTGAGACAAGGTCAATGTCTCAATGTGTGTGCGGGTTTGATACTTCTCACTTATTTTTGGTAATTTGGACAGACAAGCAGAGTGTATTTTCTTAACCCAGACTGAATCTTTTGCCTGCCATGGGAACAGTTTACTATGTGAACCCTCACCCCCAGACACAGGAATGTCAGAGTCAAACATCTGGTGTCCTTCTCTTCCTCTAGATCCTTAAGAGTGATACAGATAGAAGCTAAAAAAAAAAAAAAAAAAAATCTCCAGGTCCTTGGCATGGGGTGTAATTCAGTGGTAGAGCACTTGCCTAGCACCTCTGAGGCCTAGACTGCTTCTGGAAACACGTGTGTGCACACTCACACACACTCCTGGCTACTATTTGATTTGAATAATCTAGTTGTGGGCTTATAATTAGTGCCGATGTGTTTTATAAAATGCACACAAACATGAACCCTGAAGACTAATGGCGTTTCCTGAATGTCATATAACCTCACTCTTTTTCCCTTGGAGTTTATAGAAATAAGATGAAATGCTTGTCCCAAGAAGATGCTTGCAAATGCGTGGAGAGGGAGAAATCAATCTCATTCTCCAGTCGGTTCTTTGTTCGATTGGTTCGTTGATGGGCTTTCTTTGCTAATCTGTGCTTCCAAGACCACAAGACACACGGGGGACAATGAAGGAAAACAATGAAGTCCCATCCAATGCTGGCTGATCATTAGATTTTCCTGAGTGCCCTCTGCCCTGGACCCTGACTTTAAACTTGAACTGTCCTCCAAACTGATACTGCAACCTACTTCCATCCTTCCACGAGACGTAAGTAGCCTGAATTGACACACTTGTCCTCCAGAGGGCGCACGAGCCCACGGATTGTAACAAGGTGAGCTTAGGTAATGTTCCCACTGCCAGCCCAGAGTTCGAATAACTGCCAGAACAAACAAGCCCCACCGTGACCTCAGAGTCGGTCGGCCTGGGCTGTGGAAAGAGCCCAGCCACGTGATAAGGAAGGAGTTGAACTACACTGTCATGCAGAGAGACACAGACCTTCTTTTGCAGTCACACAGCCACACAGTTCAGGTACCCGACATGCTTCACAAAGGTAAAGCTGTCCCCGGGTGCAGAGAGAAGACACGGAACTCACGCCAGGTAGAGGCATGTTGCTGTGAGTTCCCAATGGGTTTAGGAGATTTACTTGGGAGATTTACTTTCCCAGTTTCTTCTAAAGGTAGACAAGAGCTCCGTTAGGGCCCTCAGATTATGCTGGTCACTGGGGGTAACCCTTCTGTGCTGTTCTTCATGCTGAATCAAATATAGGGATGGTCGTACACCTATACAGGATGCCTCCCCCCACTCATGAGATGCCCAGAAACCATACTGAGGGTTGCCATGAGTTCAAAGCTGCCTCACCTGTGTGGGATTTGAGAAGATCCTGTCTCCAGCCCCAGACTCTCCCAGGGCCGCCGAGCTAGCCTAAAAAGGGTCTCTGCATGGCCCCTACGCTCTGCACTGGACCAGCTGACTAATCCTAAGTGCCTTGCTGACCCCAAAGCCCAGGCTTCTCCTCCAACTGACAGCTTCTTGGAGTGAGTTAATCCCACAAAGGGCCAGCAGGGGCTGGTCAAACATCAGCTGTGACATGACTGCTTTGTTGTGGTCCCCAGGTCTGAGCGGCAGGCTCATCCCTTTGACCTGCCTGTTTCTAACAAGCTCCCTATGTGCACATGCCCCCTTTCCTCCATCTGGCCACTTTCCCACACTGCTTACCACCCCTCAGCAGGCTCCTGGGAATCTGGGGCTCTGCCCTGTGGTACACACACTGTTCTTTGGGCATGTGGCCCCTTTTCCCTGTTTGCCTAAACCAGAGCACTTCATGTTCCTCAAGAGAAACACCTTGCTTTCATGCTTAGTGAAAGTTGCTTTGTTGTTTTCTTTACTAAGTAAATGAGCAGCTGGAAGAGTGAAATGCTTGATAATCAAGACTGGCATTTAACATGGTGTTTTCTTCTCTGTATAGCTATGCAGAGCACACACACACACACACAACACACACACAGTGGGAGTGAGAAACAGTGGCTATGCCTGGGCATTCTGTCACCCTCACTGCTTTAATTCTCTCATCACCTCTTCCAGCTACCCCAATGCACAGCAGCACCCCCAAGCTTAATGGACTAACGTAACAACCACTGAATTGTGGGTCAGGAGTCGGGAGTACATGAGCAGATGTCTTCTTTCTGCTCTATGCTGTCAAAGCTCAACAGGAAGAATCAGAAGAGGGTGACCTCAAGGCAGACTTCCTGAGAGGCTTGTTCCCCTCATAGCTGGCAGGGTGTCACACAGCTGACAGGCAGAGGTGTGCACATTGCTGCCCCCAAGGCCTGGTGGTCAGGTCCCAAGCAGGACAACTCAATTGAGACAGGGCAACCTTGGTGGCATTACCGTGACCCAGCCTTTTACACCGAGGACACTCACGGTAGAACGTTTGTCTCAAATGCAGAGAATGGTCTGTTGGGGGAAGAAATCACAAAGCTTCTCCAAGGTTGAAGGGGTGGAGACAGACGCTGCACACCCACAGCACGAGTGCCAAAGTCACAGAGGAGGAAGACACCCCGAGATTAGAGGTGTTGGTGTTGGGGAAACAAATTACCATACCACCTCCAGATTAAAGTGACCACTGTGAGCACAAAGAGGCCCAGAGGATTACAGAGGCATCCTGAAAACCACCAGACACAGTCAGGCCTCCCACTGGAAAGTCCAGGAAAATAAATGGACTAATGCTTACCAACCACAGTGCAGCAACTGGGGACAGCGTAGACACAGACTAGTCCGTGGGTTTCTGTAGGTCACGGAGGGCTCAAGTCCATGGGGAACGAGTCGCTTCTTATTTTATCAACAAGATTGTGAATGAAAATATGTGGTTCATACTTTATAAAAGTTTATGAAATAATAACAAATTGATAGTAAGAACTGTTTGCTCTCAGCCAGATGCCCTTGCCCTAATTTACAAGAAGTAAAACAACAGGGTCAGGTAAGCCTGTGGCTTGGGGCTACACCCCAAGCCTTTCCTTGTTCACATCAGGGTTTCTTAGACTGAGCTTTCTGAAAGTCACTCACCTAATGCTCTTGTAGTCTGTGAGTATGGTGGATCACACTTAGTCGCTCCGTAGAACACGAGATGAGACAATAGCCCAGGCCCAAGTCCAGTCTCGGCTTCATGAAGACTTCCAGCTGCAAATCACAGCAGAGGTGAAACTGAAATCTAGTCCTTTCATAATCGAAACAGAATTATGAATGCAAGTCTGGAAAGAAAACAGAAAATTCAAAAGGCGAGCATCCTGAGAAATATTTAGATCATGTTTCTGTGTATATGTGTGGTGTACACATTTCCGTGTACATGTGTGGTGTGTGCATTTCCATGTACATTGTGGTGTGTGCATTTCCATGTACATGTGTGGTGTGCATTTCCATGTACATGTGTGGTGTGCATTTCCATGTACATGTGTGGTGTGTGCATTTCCGTGTACATGTGTGGTGTGTGCATTTCCATGTACATGTATGGTGTGTGCATTTCCATGTACATGTGTGGTGTGTGCAATTCCATGTACATGTGTGGTGTGTACATTTCTATGTACATGTATGGTGTGTGCATTTCCGTGTACATGTTGACAGGTGAATATGTAGGCCAGAAGAGGACATCAGGTGTCTTCCTCTATTGCTTTCCACTTATTCCCTTGAGACGGAGTCTCTCACTGAACCAGAAACTCGATGTTTTTTTTATTTTTGTTGTTTTAGTTTGTTTGTTTTTATTGAGCTATATATTTTTCTCCACTCTCCTCTCTTCCTCCCCCACTTCCTTCTAGCCTCTCCCATGGTCTCCACACTCCCAGTTTACTCAGGAGATCTTGCCTTTTTCTACTTCCCATGTAGATTAGATCCATGTATGTCTCTCTTAGGGTCCTCTTTGTTGTCCAGGTTCTCTGGGATTGTGAACTGTAGGCTGGTTTTTCTTTACTTCTTGTCTAAAAGCCACTAATGAGTGAGTATATATTATAGTTGTCTTTCTGGGTCTGGGTTACCTCACTCAATATGATGTTTTCTAGATCCATCCATTTGCCTGCAAATTTCAAGCTTTCATTTTTTTCCGCTGTGTAGTACTCCATTGTGTAAATGTACCACATTTTCTTTATACTTTCTTCAGTTGAGGGGCATTCAGGTTGTTTCCAGGTTCTGGCTATGACAAATAATGCTGTTATGAACATGGTTGAGCACATGTCCTTATGGTATGTTGAGCATCCTTTGGGTATATACCCAAAAGTTGTATTGCTGAGGCTTGAAGTACTCCATGTTTTAACTAATCTGGCTTGTCGGAGAACTCTGAAGACCCTCCTGTCTCCTCCTCCCCGTCTGTTGGGATTATAGGCACCTGTGGTCACACCTAACTCTTAGATGAGTAGGGAGGTCAGCAAGCATTCTAACCCAGAAAACTCTCCCCAGCCCTAATTTTCATCTTACTTTACTTTGGTGTGTTTGGAGTCTGACTCAGCAAGCAGATGCTAAGGGCAGGTTGCATGCAGAAGCCTTTGCTGCCTGGTGAGGTGCAAGATGCTGACAGGGCTGTGCACTCTACCCTCTGGAAGCCTGAAGTTTAGTGAGAGAAGGAGGCAACTGCACCATGGTTTCTTAAAAATGCCAAAGCCAACAAGAGGTATCATCACCACTTGTCAAAAGGTGACTTTCCGTCTAGCCCAAAGGGTCGAATCTCAGTCATCTTACTAAGGACTACAGTCTTTGGGTAAGAGTTGACTCCATGGTGAGACTTGCTTTATATCCCCTAGTCCTTGGGTCTTTTCTCCTTTCCCTAGCCATCAAGGCAGGAAGTTGTTAAACACGACCCTCAAATAGTCTAATAGACCAACAGCCCTATTAGAGAGCCTACTCCACGCTCATGTCTTCCTTGAAAAGTCTTCATGGAGTTTGAGGGTCTGGCTGCCTATCTGCAGCAGACTTTCTTTTGGACCACCAACCAACTCCCAAATCATGATACAGAGCCTTATTATTATTTAGGAATGTCTGGCCTTATTTTATGGCTTGTCCCACTAGCTCTGAGAACTTAATTTAACCTGTTTCTATCATCTACATTTTGTCTCGGGGCTTTTTCCCTTTCTTTCATTCTCTATGTCTTACTCCGGGTCTGGCTGGCTGCTGGCTGCCTGGCTGGCTGGCCCCAGGTGCCTCCCTCTTTTTTTATATACCTTATTCTCTCTTCTCTCTCAGGCCTAGATTCCTCCTCTTAGTCTCTCTGCCCACCAACCCCACCTATCCCTCTACTAGCTATTGGCCATTCAGCTTTTTATTAGACCAATCAGGTGCCTTAGGCAGGTAAAACACCACATCTTTAAACATAGTTAAACAAATGTAACATAAACAAATGTAAGACATCATTACATAGTTGAAAAATACAGCATAAATAAATGTAACACATCATTACATAGTTAAACAAATACAGTATAAACAAACATAACACATCATTACATAGCTAAATAAATACAATATAAACAAATGTAACACATCTTTGCAAAAAGTAATATTCCACAACACCTATCTACACAAGCATTGTATCCCCACAAACAATGCAGGCAACATTTCACAAATCCTTTTAGAAGGGTCTGGCCATGCTCGCCACTAGGAGGGAAGCCTGCTGTCCCTGGGAATCAACAGAAGCCTCAGAGGGCATGAGGCTGTTCTTTCCACCATGCATAGTAGCACCCAGATTCACTGACACCTGCAGGGCAGGAACTCTAGGACACATCTGGCTGCTGGCATTTAGCTTTGATGCCTGGGATGGGACCCGAAGTTCCAACATTCTCTGATGGTCTGTGCACCAAGGGTGGCCTGGCCAGTCGTGAGCACTGGACATCCCTATCCCTGGTGGCCCTTTTGCTTCAAAGAGGCTTAAGGTCACTCCATCTTAGGTTGGGCCAGGACCTTTCCCCTGCTTTTCTATCCTTACCTCCAAATCCCAGGACCTACATCCTCCTCACCATCAGTTCCTAGGTGAGGACCAGTTGGGTGTCTCTAGACTACTGGGAAAGTATTTGCCTTCAGAAGACTGGCGTTTGGACAAAGTCGCTAGATCCTCCACCTTCCAGGAGGATGTGAAACTCCCTAGGAGCCAGCTGAGACTTCCTGTCCTCTGTTCTTTGCATGTATGGGTGTGTCCCTGGGTTGTCTGATTGATTCTCTAGTAGGGTTTTTCTAGAACTAGAGACTTGGTGTGGTCCCTATCCACTAGTTCCTCCCACCTACCCATAGTCAGGCTGATGGAGTCAAAAGATCCACGTGACAGCACGGGACCTGTGTTCAAGTAAGCACAAAAGGTTCCAGAGTAGAAGAAAGGGGATGCTTCCTTGTTGGAGTCTTCCTGACAACAGGCATCCTGGTCCTGGACCCTCCAGCCAGCACCTGTGGTCTCAGCTCCAGCTTCAGGCCCAGAATTCAGACATCCACCCCGGGTGCTATTGACCTCTTCATCAGGAACAGGTACCAGGGATCCAGGTAACCCATGGTACATGGTGGGCGATGCCATTTAGACCTCACTTGGGAGCTGCGAGCTCCCACTTTCCAGGTTTCCAAAGCAGGGAAGTTCAGAAAACAGCAGTGCTGAGAGGAGCGTAGGGCGGTGACGAGCAAAGCCCCGCCCCGCCACTCGGAGGGTTGCCCTGCCCCTGGGTCCCCGCGTGTCCCCCGCCCTTCCAGTGGCGCGCGTTTACCTGCCAGCAGACGGAGTGAGGCGGGGCGGGAGCGGGGTGCGTGCCTGTCCCCAGAGCAGCCGCTGTCAGTCACCACCGCTGAGCGCCAGCGAGGACGAGCCTCTGGCCCAGGCGGCCCGCGTCTCGCGACCCCGAAACGCAGGACCGCGGCCCAGCGACCCCGAACGCAGCGGCGGGTTCCTCCTGCCGGGCTCCCTGGCGCCCCTTGGCCTCCGAGCCGCAGCCAACACTGGTGAGTGATGATTATCAGGGACGAGCCGGGCGGCCCTGGAGCCTTTGTCTCGGCGCCCCTCAGAGCGGGAGACCCCAGCACCAAGCCTGACTCCCAGAGAGGCGACGGAGAGGGCGCTCGGCACCGGCACCAGAGCTCTGATCCCTCTCCCAGGCCAGGAGCGCCCGGGGCACACCTGACCAGAGAAGCAGGTGGCCCCGCAGGTGGCAGCTAGGCGACTTCTCGGACCGACACCACGGCGGCAGCCCTATCTTTCTTGGGAAGTGGTAGACGCGGGTGTAGACTCAGATCCACAGCGGTGGGGACTGGAGGCCTGAGGGTTATCCCCGGGTAGTCTCCAGCCAAGCCTGGAGACCCGGGGGTCGCTGAAACTCACGCGGCCTAGAAATGGTGGGGGAGGAGTTTAGGGGTGGGAGGTGACCTCGGTCGAGAGAGACCGCCCCCAGCGTGAGAGAGGGGTCTTAAGCGGCTCCGAGGGCACAGCAGGGGTCCGTCTAAGCCTGCAGCGCCTGCTAATCACACACCTGCTGCCCCTCAAAGATCCCTGCCCTGCCCCTCCCCACAAGCAGAAGCAGTTTCTCTTTGAGCAGAGGGCGGCGACAGGCACTTACCCAAGCTTCCGCCTTCTCAGGGCCTCTTTCTGGCTCCTAGGCCCTTTCGGTGCCGCACACAGGCCCCCACCCACCCTGCCCACCTGCGGCCACCTGCTGGCCTCTGTCCAGCTGGCGCGGTCTTCCCGCCATAACTTGAACTCTTGGTCATGCTGAAGCGCTGGGTCCCAGTTGCCCCTTGGGGGGCGGGGGGGTCAGTCCTCGTGTTCTGCTTCGGTTTGTTATAAACTCTGGTGTTTAGGGCAAGGGCGAAGGCCGCTTGGGATTTCGAGGTGCTCCTTTAGTCCCCTGATTTGGGAGGTGGAGCAAGGCTTGAAAAAGGTCTTGCGGTTCCCTGAGGAATCAGTTCGGACTCTTTGCTGGCTGCCAGCAGGATAGCTGCTGATCCACCCAGCACACAAGCGTGGATCTGTGCAGTTGGGGGGAGTCTTGGAGCTGGGGGTGAGAGTCTGTAGGGGTAGGAGACATCAAATATCAGGCGGGCATCGCCTCTGCCTGCACTGGACACAGGAGGCACAACTACAATGACTTTTTTAGAGGAAGGGAACCTTAGGGAGGTCTTGTCAAGACTCGTGGCTTTGGAGGGTATGTCTAGGTAAGCTTAGAAGACCACCCCCTCACTACCCATGGCTCTCCCAAATACAGCTTACTCCCCCGGCTCCTCTGGGATTGGTGTGGGCACCTGCTCTAGAGGATGGCATCCTGAGAAGAGACGATCCCGGGCCAGAGTGAGGGATAACCACCGCTCAGGTGCACAGCAGCCCAGCTTGTGTAAACATCCTCAGATTCTCGGTGGGATATACAGACACCTGAAAGAGAAAATACAGTTTAAAATAATCACGAATATGAGAGGCAACGCCTAAGGATGTGATTATTCTGAAATGCCTGCTTTTAATCAACTTTTTTAATCAACTTGAGATTAAAAAAACTAGTGTGTTCAAAGCCGCTTTTAATGTCTGTCTAGATATGGAGTGTTGGTTCTTGGTGGAAATGGTGTGTGGTTAAAAAAAGATGTGCGAACACAGAAAAAGAACATAGCTCCATCTTTCAAGGATGTTCAGATTTAGCTTGGATTTTGGAGAGCCAAAGCTTTTTCTGTTTGATTCTAGGTTTCCTCTTCAGGGTCTTAATTTTTGTTTCTAATTTTTAGATTCTATTTACTTATTTATCTATGTGTATATGTGCATGAACACAGGTAGGGATCAGAGGAAAAGTTGCAAGGGGGTCAGCTCTCGCCTTCCACCATGTAGGTTCCAGGGGCCAAACTCAGGTCATGAGCCCTGGTGACCACCACAAGGGTTTTCACCCACGGAGTCACCTCACCAGCCCCCTCCAGGTTCTCTCAAATGTCAGCGGCTGCCTGTGCCTCCCCAATAGCAGGTGGCATTGATTGACCACCCACCAAACACCAGGCTCCCTGCTGGAAACTGATAACCACTGCACCTCAGTCGTCACTGCCCCGGGGAGAACTTCATTTCCCATCATTTCCCTGTCAGTTGCCTCTCAGGGCACAGAGAGGGGAAGCGAGGTGCCTCTGCGAAGTTACCACCTGGCTCCATTTGGTTCCTCGTGACCACTTAAAAGTGCTCCTCCTTTCTTCTTAAATGTCCACCATTAGAGGCTGGAGAGATGGTTCCGTGGTTAAAGATGCTCTACGGCCCTTGTAGAGCCCTAGTTCAGTTCCCAGCACCCACAGCTGTTGGCTCCCGACTGCCTGTAACTTCAGCTCCTGGGAATCCAACACCATCTTCTGGCCTCTGAGGGTGCCAGCACTTACAGCATACACATACCACACATAAATTTTAAGTCCACCACTGGTGAGTGACCGTGCCTATGAAAACATCCACTTTCCAGCCCCCAGGTGACCTGACTATAGAAACACCCATCTTAGTTGATTTCCCTGCCCTAGCCTCCTTTGCTGTCCACAGGAAGGCTTTAACCTCGGTTAAACTCTCTGCTGGGTAGACTTCAGCCAAGAAACAAAGTCAGCAGGTGATGCTTGGTAGCAATCTGATTTGACCAGTTTGGAGGAAGCTGCTCCAGCAGAGGTGGGAGCCTGATCCACTTAGAACAGGTTGGGGAGGAGGTAGCTGGACTCTTGGAGGCACTCCGGGCTGCTGAGCATGGGGGCCATCTTCTGTCATGGCTTCTGCTGACTCCTGAGAGCCAGTAGCATATTCTGAAGCCAGCACGAGTCTCCATTCAGGAAGTTTAAAGATGGGGCCCCATGATTCTGAAAGTTCTTTAGAGAAAGAGAGAGAGACAGATAGATAGACAGACAGACAGACAGACAGACAGACAGACAGAAACTGGACGGCTGATATGTAGCTCAGTTGGCAGAGCACTTACTTAGCATGCACAAGGCCCTGGGTTCTACATCCAGAACTCCAGCATCTTGTGAAATCTGGCAGCATGGTACCTGCCTGCCATACCCCCTACCCCCAATTGGAAGATGACAATGGCAGAAAGATGAAAAATTCAAGGTCAGCCTCTGCCACAGAGAGAGTTTCAGGCCAGCAGAACTTGAGACATGAAACCCCATCTCAAAACAAAACAAACAAAAAAGATGTGAGAAAAATGGAGTCAGCTCATTCTCTGGGACATATGGAGTTAAAATGCGTGACTGAACACTCTCTAAGTTCTAAGAGGTAAACCCGAAATGGATCAATAAGATAGGAAAAGAATTTCAACCCGCAGTTAATCAGTGGAAAAAAAATAAAGCGATGATAAGATACGGTTTCACATTCCTTATACTAGTGAGAATTCTCAAACTCTGACTCTGCCAAGTACAAAGAGGTAGAGAAAGGAGAACTCACATTTTTGAGTGAGGGTGTTATCAAGAAATAAACACTTTACCTGAAAAATATACACAATCGATCCCTAACCTTATCCCCAAGCCCAACCCTAACCCCCTAAGCACAACCCTAACCCAACCTTCGAGGGAACTTCTGGGATGATGAATATGACCACGTATGTTCCTTGAAACAATCTGCTAAAATTTTCTGTTTGGGGATAATAGTAGCCTTGTTGCAATTACAAGATATTATGTAGAGAGTCGGGGGTGGGATACGTAGGTGTGATTACAGCACTCAGGACGATGGTGAGTGTGTGCCACCCTGACTATATATACAGTGAGATTCTGTCAGGAAAAGTGGGAAGAGAAGAGAGGAAGGAAGGGAGGTGGGATGGACGGAGGAAGGAAGAGAGAAAAAGAAGGGAGGAAGGAAGAGAGAAAAAGAAGGAAGGGAGGAAGGAAGAGAGAAAAAGAAGGAAGGGAGGAAGGAAGAGAGGAGAAAGGAAGGAGGGGGAGAAGAGAAGGGAGAGGAAGAAAAATAATAGCACAGAGCTCACGTGCACATGTGCCCTTCACTTAGTCTCCCCAATAACATCCTTCAGACTACAGCACAGCATTGTAACCAGGAATTTAGCCGTGATACCAACCATTAACCTTGCTCAGATTGCACACTTCACCGCTTTCCACGCCGACATCCCTATGCCTGTCTCTGTGTTTATGCATCTGGCTGTATCTATAAGTTTGAGTGTGTGTCTGTGTGTCTAATATCTCTCTCTCTCTCTCTCTCTGTGTGTGTGTGTGTGTGTGTGTGTAGATGTATGTGATGTCACCCTGTAGAGTCACCTGACTGCTAACGCAATCAAGGATGAGCCCCACTGCTGTCTCAGCATGCCTCATGCTACCCTTCACAGCTGTAGTCAACTTCCTTCATCCTCCTCCCCGCCACCAGCATCCTGTCCCTGGGTCTCTCTGGTGCTGTCATCTCTGTACAAATGCATCTGACTCGGCCCCTTCTGTGCTGTGCATTTGTCCTCAGTTCACACAGGTAGTTGAGCGCATATGCTACGGTTTATTCTGTGCTGTTGCTGTGCCCTTGTGTGGGGTGGAAGCTCCAGTTTGTTCTCCAAGCGTCCTGGAAAGGGTGCTTGGGCCCTTTCTGAATGGAGTTACTGCACACAAAGCTGCGATGAACGTCCACCATCACTTGTGTGGACCTAGTTTTCAGTCTCTGGGATAAACACCTAAAAGTGCAGTTGCTGCAGATCGTGGCGAACACACATTCAATTTTATAAGGAATTGACGTCTCATTTCCAGGGAGCTGCGACACTCTACATTCCACCCAGCACTGCCTGAGAGACCCGGATGGCACACGCTTTCAGGATTGTCTCTAGTTTTGGTTTTGGTTTGCTGTTCTGACGTAGAGTTGGGGACAGATCATGGTGGGTTTGATGGTGTGAAAGATTGAGTGTACGCATTTGCCATCTGCAAGTCCTCCCCAGCAAAAAGGCTACCTGTTTCTTTCTTTCACTTTTGAATTGGGTCAATAGTTTTTATTAAAACTTACTTTTGCTCATTCTTCTGGTCTCTAGAGCCCCTGTCTTCAGACTCCTTCCCAACAGTTTAGCCTATATTTTCATTTGCTCTGTGAGAGTGTTCGGAGAAAAAGTTGGATTTAATTAATTATTTTGATGCATCTCAAGGTGTTCATTTCCCTTTAATGGTTTGTGGATTTGGGTTTTTTGCTTGTTTGTTTTGGGTTTATCTATCTATCTATCTATCTATCATCTATTTATTTGGTTGGTTGTTTTTTGAGTTTTTTGGGGGGTGGCTTTTTTGTTGTTATTTGGGGGTGGTTTGGTTTTTGTTTGGTTTGGGGTAAAGCCTTAAGAATTCTTCATCCATCAGAACTGGAATACAGAGACAGGTGGATCTCTGTGAGTTCAAGGCCAGCCTGGTCTACAGAGTGAATTCCAGGCCAGGAGAACTACATAGTGAGACCCATCTCAAAAAACAAAAATAAAAAGGAAGAAAACCCAAGAATTCTTCACTTAAAGTCCTGAAAACTCCTTTTGCTGTTTTTTTTTTCATTTTTGTTTCCACTTTTCCACACTTCAGCCTGTGATCCATTCTCAGTAACTTTTGTATAAAATATGGAGTTTAGACTGGGGCTTTTTGTTAAAATACTTTTGGGGTTTGATAAAAGACTTTAGGAAATGCAGTTCATCGAATTGCTTTTGCCACTGTCAAAAATCATTTCCACATGTTTTGTTTTTTGTGTTTGTTTGTTTGTTCGTTGTTGTTTTGATGGACTCTGCTCCACAGAGTAGTGTGGCTGCGC